CAAATAAACTATTTTGAATGAAATGAAAATGAGAATATCATTAATGTAGTCAAAGTCAGTTCAATATGCATCGTTAATGCATCAAAAGGCATTAATGCATCAAAATCGGTCACCTTGAAACTAAATACACATTTAAAAAAAAACAATCGAATTAGTTCAGTAAGTTGAGTGTGACTGATAGTTTTCACGGCATTTAGGTAGGTCACAGAAGTAAAGTGATTAAAACAAAATATTTGACTGCATTATTTCTGCTGTTCAATAAATAAATAAAAAACGTTGTATGTTTGTTCCCTCTGCGTTCCTAAACTGTTCATCCGATTGAGATGAAATTTCGTACAGTTATTGTTGGCACTCCAGGGAAGGTCTTCGCCATAGTTTCATCAAATAGCGGTAGGTGGCGCGCGTGTGTAGTTTCAACAAATATAAGCTTACTAGCGACCCGCCCTCGTTTCGCTTCGGAAACCTTTAATTTTAATATTGATAATGAAAATAAGATGGCAGATTTTTTCCTACTATATATTTACATTATATTTTGGATACACAAGATATCTTTATAAATTATAGCCCATGTGTTATTCATTTTAAAACAATTCACAAAACTTTACTCCCCGTGTTCTCCATTTCGTCATTGGTATTTTATCAATTTTCAACTACATAAAAAACGTTACAAATTTGACGGTGAGCGAATGAACAAGATTAACAACTTTTACGCCTTAATGTATTTTGAACTCGATTTTATTTTCAGATTTATATACGTGAGGTCAAGGACTACCGTATCCGTGTCCTAAAAGATACGACGACCGCTGTGTGCTCGGAGGCGGGTTTCCAGGTAACAGAAGACATTTTATTTGAATACTAATCTAACAACATCATCATTATCCTGCCCTTCTCCCAGTCACTTGGGGTCGGCGCAACATGTTTTCTCCTTCCACACTCCCCTATCATATACCATTTCATCACTCACTCTCCTCTTACATATATGTATCGTCTTTCACGCAATACAACAAGGGTTCACTAATGATTTCCATGATCAACGAAAAAACATGACGCCATTGAAACAATTAAAGCAATTTTTAAATTTTCATAATTATAGTGTTATTATATAGCATACTAATTTTGGGGTTTCATTGTAAGGAATGACCTTTGTACCATAGAATTGTGAATTCAAGTTCACATCTCAAGGTCAAGGCAGTCGCGTCGGATCATCTATGAGCCCTGGTAATCAGTTTTTTTTTTATTGCTTAGATGGGTGGACTAGCTCACAGCCCACCTGGTGTTAAGTGGTTACTGGAGCCCATGGACATCTACAACGTAAACGCGCCACTCACCTTGAGATATAAGTTCTAAGGTCTCAAGTATAGTCACAACGGCTGCCCCACCCTTCAAACCGAAACGCATTACTGCTTCACGGCAGAAATAGGTAGGGCGGTGGTACCTACCCGCGCGGACTCACAAGAGGTCCTACCACCAGTAAAAAGTTAATACCGGCGAATACCGGTAATCCGTAAATTCATTTACAGCTGTGGTGGTATAACAATACTGACTGGATACGTGTTTATCATAATCAGCCCACAATCGCCCATCGCTGGACATAGACCTTTCCCAATCCACACCACTGAGCCCGGTCTTGGGCTCTCCTTATCCACCTCTTCCCGGCCACCGGATGGAGGTCATCGCACCACCAAGTCAGTGGGCATCCCTCGCTACGTTTTCCGTTGTTGAGTGATAACCTTAAACCTGATAAGTGTTCACAGAGTTTAAAGTGTTGTTTAATATCAGATCGTGATCAATCTCTATGTAATTGCCGAGCACGTAGGTATAATTATGATTATTAGTGGTCCCCAATAGACGAAATTCGACTATAATTAATTGAAATTATAAGTTTGAACATTATTATGGTTCTATTCTCAAATACTTCTTCTATAATTACAGATTTGGCCAAGACTGCACTATAGACAAATAATATTAAAGACAAACAATATTAATCTATTCTCAATTTGACCACAGACTTTAAACAATAACATAAGTTTTACAATAAACAAAGAGCTTTTATATGTTGTGTCAAATACACGGTAGTGTGTGTAATGTTTTTTTTATTGATTTAATGTATATTTTATTAATTATTTTAAAAAATACTAACATTCTGCACTCCTTCTCTGTGTGGGCAATTTCATAATCCACCGACCGCGCAATTTTCGTAAAAAGGGATACAAAGTTTTTGCTTCACATATATAGATTTTTCAATGTCTAACATTTGAGTGATCCATGCTAAACTCAACAGCTGTTGTTTTGACACACAAATAACCCCCAATTTGACACCTAGCTATAGCTAACGTTAGCAAAATCGAGGTTAGAGATTAATAGCATACACAGGTAGGCAAAATAAAAGTTTTGGCATTTATTCTACTAAAGGTAAAATTGTAACTATTTATTTGTCTCAAGGTGACTGGCATGTTTAGGCATTAACCGTTTTACTAGTCAATCCATTGCGTTGTTACACAAGAAGATTATTCGTCACGCGGCGACCATAGACCTTCGTACGCGGACGGTTTTGTTTATGGCCACTAACAGCGTTGTTTCAAGGTCGATGAACCCATTGCAATGCTGAGTGATGCCTTACTTGAAAGGATTTCTTTTTCTTTATGGGGGATTATTTTTCTGGAACCATTTGATCATCATCATTATTACATCTTTTTTTAATAGGTCCGTCTGGTAGGTGGTAGTCCCATACTGCGCTTTCCAGTACGCGGTCTCCACTCAAGAATTTTTTGGAGCCATTCTCAAGGTGGTTAGCGGCCCTGGGAAGCTTCAATTCGCCTTTTATACAATAGTTCTTCTGTTGCGCGTAATTGGACTGTTATCATATGCCCTCCACATTATAACAAACCGACCTCCACCAAGAAACAAGTTTTATTTTTAGAAGATAATTAAGCAATTTAAAAGTCTTCGAACCGGAACAAAATATTTTAAAAGAATAACTAATGAATATAGAGGGGTAATTAAATTTAAACGAAAAATACAACGTATTATTAACTTCTGTTGAAAAGTTAACAACGTATTTCTAGAAGATTCAGACATAATGAATGTAAGCTAACGCGGTGAATACGTGAGTATTATCTTATAGATGAATCTAAACTTGTATAAAATGTATAAGTTGCCAGTTTTAAATATTAAACAAGTATATTAAGAGTGCCTAAGAGTATTTTAATTTTAATTTCAATTTTATTGTAGTGTCTACCAAAAATTAATTGTTAATTTGCTTTTAAAATTAAAATAACATATTTTCTTTGTTTCCATCTTATTCCACTAGGTGGGGTTGGCACAGCGAATTTTTCTATCCCATTCTCTTTTATCAGCCTTCATCTCGACACTCACTCCTCTCTCTCTCTCTCATATCCTCATTCACACACTCCATCCATGTCTTCTTCGGTCGACCCTCCCCCCTTCCCCCTCTACCTTTCACTACCATTTCCATACATCTACGCATCACATATCCATACCACGCTAACTTTAACGCTAACTTCAAATTAAAATTACACAAAACGTAGTAAGCCTAATAAATCGCTAAAGAATTCCGCTGGGTTTGTTTCGAGAGTTTTTATTCTATCAGAACTTGTCTCTTTTTCCAGCCGATGGTAGAGACATCTTTCTATCTTTCTATCTAGCTTCTAACTAACTTTAGCGTCCCAATACATTTTTAAAAATTTATTGTACGAGCGTAAAAACATTGAAGAATTTCCCAGAGTCTGCGATTTGCATAATGTGAACACTAGGAACAAACATAGGCTTGCGTTGCCGGCGGCTGAAATTAAGAAAATAAGCAACTCTTTAAGGGGGCTGGGTGTACAGCTTTTCAACAAGATCTCACAAAACGTTCACTACCTGTTCATAAATTTAAGAAAACTGTCAAGGAACGTTTGTGCAACAAGGCATATTATAAAGTTAAGGATTATTTACTAGATGGCACTACGTGGGAATGAGGCGCTCGCTCCTGGCCTTTTCATTTTTCATTTTTTTTTTTTTTTTTTTTTTTAATTGTAGTTTTCGACTTGTTTTTTCGTTTATTGCAAATATGTTAAGTATTTATTTAAAAAAAAAAATTGAGAAAAATCAAAAAAAAGCCCGCTGAGTTTGTTTCGCCGGTTCTTCTCAGGACTGTGGCTCTTTTGGAACCGGTGGTAGAGTTAATATTGTTATTTATATTTTGACTTAAAACATGCCCGTCCACGTAATTGGTTCCCTGGTATTATCAATTTCTATGAACAAACATGACAACTCGTCTTCAAAAGTATAAGATCATAATAGATAAAAAATAGAATTCTAAGTATTTGCACTATGGTGACGCTTCTGATTTGTTTCATCGTCTACGCGTCTCGAAATGTTACCGCACTAATTACTGTATCGCCGAGTCAATCAAAACAATATAAATATGATACTAAGCGAGCCAACTTCTAATCACGGTAACAAAAGTGGATAAATCATCAGTAATGTTCACGGTATTATCTTACTATTATATTTAAGACTATTTAAGACATTTAAAATTAACATTATTATTTATTGTCATTATTATTAGGGAGTCCAACACTCATATAAATATTAGCCTATCCATTAAATACATTTTCTACATGGATACCAAGTTTCAAATCAATCGGATGCACTGTTCAGTAGTTATAACGGAACATCCGTAAAAACCACTGTAGATTTATATATTAGTATCGATGATGCCGACGGTTGTCAGCGACACAAATGTCGTTTGAGGATCATTTCACATCGCCTCTTCATCTCCAAGCGCCGCTCGCACATGCAATGGCGTGTGGAGATATGAGTACAAAGACGCCTCGGTACGCACATCCATTGCTTACATTGCTTTGTAGGCAGCGGCTTGGCTCTGCCACTGGCATTGCTGAAGTCCATGGGCGACGGTAACCACTCACCATCAAGTGGGCCGTATGCTCATCTACAAAAGCAATAAAAAAAATCGCAACTATACCGACACTTACCAGGGAGCTTTATCCGCCAATCCGTTAGAAGACCCCTTTTCTGTTCTTAGTTCCGACGCCATTTTTAATGCTGAAACAAAAAGAAATATAAATTATAATAAAATAACGCTTATCTTTTAGAACTGGTGAAAATTATTGCGACGAAGGGCTCGACGAGTAAGTTTACCAATCGACACAGCCCACTGAGCTTCTCGCCGGATCTTCTCAGTGGGTCGCGATTCCGAACCGGTGGTAGATTCTGCGAAGCACGGCTCTTGTTAGGGGACGTGTTAGCAACGTCGTCAGGTTTGAGCCCCGTGAGCTCCCTACTAGTTAAGGTTCCGCTGAAGTAGCCTCTCAAGGCTATCAGCTTAGGTAGGAGAAAAAAACAGATAGTAAATAATCAAGTAACTATTTTTATTAAATAAATTAATAAAAAGCGCTTCGTCGTGAGAATCGTTCGTGGAAACATTTTACGTACAACAATCAGACTAGTATAGAAATTCATGTTATTTTTATTTGAAGTTTGAAATAACATTCTTAAATATTCAAAGGTTAATGTTACAAGCCTTTTTGTATGTATGGTAATATGCGGTTATCATTTTTAACTGATTGCCATTGTTCATGCAATTGTCATGTTAATATGAGTATATATTTTTTTATGTTTTATTTCTATAGAATTTTAATTTCACCCGTACAGAATAAGGAGTTTCGGTTTTTTGTTGTATTTTCAGTTGTAGTTTCATAATATTTTATTATTGTCGCGGTTTTTGTTGTTCAAAAGCCTGGACCATCACAAAATGAACGCGGTCATCTTTCTTCAAGCATGAGATCGAACTAGGGACTCCTCAAATCTCAAGATGGTTTCACGCAAGAAGAAGAAAAGGTGGGTGGCGCATTTACGTCGTAGATGTCTATAGGCTCCAATAACCACTTAATACCAGGTGGGGTGTGAGCTCGTCCACCCATCTAGCAATAAAAAAATACTCAATATTCCTTCACCGTGAAAGTCAATCGTAAACATTTATTAAGTACGAATTTCATTAAAAAAATTGGTACCTACCCGCCTGCAGGATTCGAACACCGCCGCATCGCTAGATAAAATATTGCAGAAGGCTACCCAGTCGCTTTAAGCTTAATAATTTAAAATTCAGTTTCATTATCGAATAAAATCGACAAAAACTCAAGGTTCGTTCTTTTCAAAATAACAATTACAATAAAGAAAATTTTATAAAATTCTTAAGATCATTATTTAAAAATACAATATAATGAAAGGAAACAAACCAGACATTGTGGTCTCGCTTGAAAAATAAATTTATAAAGCTAATAGCTATGGAAACATGTTCACTTTATTATCAACAGATACTTATTTTTATATTTGTTTACTGTATCATAAAATAATATAAAGTGTAATAATACAGTAACTGAAATGCTAATTAATTTAAGACATTCGTAGAATTAAATAATTGTCTATGTTGCTACCTACATAATTTTTATTTTATTGCTTAGATGTATGAGCTCATCGCCCACCTGGTGTTACGTGGTCACCGGAGCCCATAGAAGGCGATCTCCTGAGCACGATCGCGACACTCAACGTTTTGCAGCAGAGGACCAACGCCCGAACCCTAGGGACCAGTAGGCATGACCGGGAACCAGTACACGACCCTAACGTGTCAACTAAATGCTACAGATAGAAATGTCATATCCGATCCAGACGACGGGGCAAAGCAGAGCCGCCGTCACCCGAAATATCTGTTGTCAGTGTGCTTAGTGCGAGTTCTTTAACGTTGTCGATAGCGTAAAAATTAGCTCATATTTGTATGGAATGGGATCGTATGCGTATGTTTGCCGCTAGGGGCGCTGTTCCAACTGCATACAAAATTGGGTTAACTTTAACGCTATCGAGAACGATAAGAAACTCGCATTAAGCAGACTAATCACGCGGACCCACTCTCGATGCTTTAAAGCTCTTTAAGCACCGGTCACCGTACTCATCGAATTCGAGCTAACTAACCCACAGACACAACCCACTAAATTTCTTGGCAGATCTTCTCAGCGGGTCGCCATTTCGATCCGAAGGTAGATTCTGCGAAGCTCTGCTCTCGTGTTAGTGTTAGCAAATTATCTCAGGTCGAGCCCGTGAGCTCACCTATCCGTCCGCGCGTAACTGGAACAGTCCCATAGGCTCCCAGCGAATTGGTAAGGAAAATAATATAACAATATTTTTTTTTACGTACTATATTAGAATATGAACATGGAAAACCTAACGTTTGTTTATTATGTGCTAAAAATTCATTAGCACATCCTCAGTGTATCGAGTAAACATCTGGACATGACAATGATGTTACGAACTCCACGGCACGTATACGTAATAATCATAACATGGTTATTGAGTCTGAAGCAACAGAATCGTCTAAATATACAAAAAAAATTAATGCTGGAATCAGTATTCATGTCACAGAAGGAGACATTTCGCTCAGTGTGCTTAGTGCGAGTTTTGTAACGCTCTCGACAGCGAGCCAGTTTGCTCAAATTTGTATGCAATTGGAACAGCGCCCCTAGCGGCAAACGTACCCGGTGTTATTTTGTGAGTGCGAGTTCATATTAACGTTGTGATCTCGTAACCGAGTAATTTTACCGAAATGAATACCACGAATGACATTTGTGCGAGTGCGTGTTACAAATTAGTGGGTTTTAACGTTTCGATCGAGTATTTCTTTAGTAGTTCTATTTTTCCAACTAGAGAGGCAAAAGTATCATGCCATAAAGCCTAATCTTTTTTTATGAAAAATTATAATATGGAGTGAAATGGATTTGATTAATTTGAAGCATTAATCAATTGGCATGGAATGAAATGAAATGAGATCAGATAATATGGGATAAAATATAATCTCTGCAAAATGCTGATTATATACTGAGATTTTTTTCAGTGGACCTTTTCGAAGACTTCGAGAAGCTACGTCCAGCGGTTTTGTTTAATTTTTTTAAATTTTCGCACTTTCACAGATACTAAACAGTTAATAAACCCACGTTACTTTGTTAT